TTCAGAGCTTCTCTTATGTTGTTAGCTGTGCTTTACAATGACATCATCACAACATCCAATGTTTACTTAACTCGCAATGAAGTAGATGCAAAATTGAACTATGAAATAATCCTAACCCCTATGAATTTAAGACTCTGAGGGACCAGTTACTTTTGACGTTTCCATTTCTTTCTGGTTAAATCTCGACCTCTACAGGGCTGGTGTAATCTAGAAGGGTGAGTAATGCTATTGCATAAATCTTACCTCATTGGTATTTATGATTCCTAAAGTACTTTTAAAGCTTGTTTAAATTCATATTTAAGTCCAGTCATGTTATTTACATATAAACCCTGGAGAGGAATGAAAAGTAAGATTGCCCACAAAGAAAGAATGCAGTGGTTTTGAGCTTTAAAAAAATTAATATTGTTTGGTATGGTGGTGGCCCCAAATCATCACTGCAACATACCGCATGAAAGTCTAGTGTCATTTGCAGATTATGTCGACAAAATTAGCTTAAGGCAACTGAAAGAAGCGGGAACTCAGTCACCATCAGACAGGACTGATGTTGACTCAAGCATGCGCTCTTAGGGAGTTGTGAGTTGGCTACTGTAGTTTGTCTTTTGGGATTAAACTCTACGATCAAACATTCTCTTCCACAGGTAAATATTAATAAGAAGATTACTCTAAATAAAAATCAAAAGTAATTAGATTCTTTATGGATGATCAATCATCTGTCACCCTTACTTTCATGTACCATGGAATTCCCTAGTGTCTTATCTTGAACAATGAATTTTAACATCAAATGTGATATGATTCGCATTTCAGTAGCTAACAAACTTGATTAGAGGCTGTGATTCATTGGAAAGGAAGATCCTGTAAAGCCTGCGAAGCCACAGCATGTGCAAGGGGGACCCTGTGAGAGGAGGAAAGGGCCAGGTTTTCCACGTAGTAAAGGGTGATGGAGTAGGGGGCCTGCGCTCTGGCAGATGGGCAACACTCAGGAGACCCAGAAAAGACAGGCAGCTCCGTGGAGTTGCGGTGGTCACAGATTTCACGGTATAGCTAAAAGTAGCCAATGCAATATAGGCCATAAAAGGATGATTTTCAAATTAACCTCAGCCACCTTTCATTGTTTCAGGGAACCCCATAGACTTCTACAAAACATTGGATGTAGAATTACCATTTTTCTCCCAGCTCCCTTTAACGTCTGCAGTTATAATTCCAACCGCGGCGGAGAACTGCTCGTTTTAGTGTGTGCACAGACGTAGATTGAGATTCACATGCGTGTGTCCGCATGCACACACACACACACACACACACACACACACACACAGGTTCTTGCATTATGCTTTTCAATAATTCTCAACCCCTTCTTTTGGTTTGTTTTTTAACTTTTTATTGAGAATAATTGGTCGAAGGTTTACAGATCATCAGTTTCACACTCAACAATTCATAATATAGTTTGTTTCTTCTCCTTAATTGGCATCCTGTCCCCTCACGGTGGGCGGCATCACCTATCCCACCTCCTTTCTACTTTCCCGACTCTCTCCCTCCTTCTTTCTTAACAATCCTGAACTCCCCGTGGGCAAATGCCACCCCTTTGATCTCTAGGAATGAATTGCTTTCAGATCCATGTGTCTCACTACCTTCTTTGTTCCCTTACAGACCTGGGCATTGCTTAGCTGGAAATGGAGGTGGAAATGGGAAAGGAGCGGAGTTCAGCTCCAGACTGGACCGAGGGTCATATTCACCAGGGTTCCCCTCATCTCTATCTCTTTATGAGTTTGCATTTTGTTAGATTTTTTCTCTGACCCTAAAGAAGACTTTTCAGAGAATTTGAGAGGGGTAGTCAGGTACCGTGTAGTTCTTCTGGTCTCAGGAGGATGGAGACTGAGGTTTGTGTGACCCATAAGTCCATTGGACTAATGGTTCCCAGTGTGTCTTGAATTTTTATAGCTCTTCTTTCCTTCAGACAGGGAGAGACCAATAGTGTCCCAAAGTTTTTAAGACCCTAATTGCTATTCGCCAAAGGAAGATTTAGAACGTTATCTTCGTGGACTATTTATGTCATCTGACTTTGGGTTCCCCAGAGACGATGGCCCCGAGCCTCCCGTATCCAGTGACTGGTGAACTTTCATCGGTTCACGGAAGTTGAGATTTATCCTAGGAGCACGCAGAGTGACCAATAATTCTAAAAGAGAAGTGATGAAATGAGGTTATGGAAAGAGCATTTTAGTCAATGATCCTTGGGATTTATGCTGCCCCCGGGTTAATAGCATGCCCTTTAGAGATTAGACAGTGGTGGTGAATGGTTGACTGTGCAGTTATGGGGAGAGCATTCCACTCCCCACATTGCCCTGACAGTCTGCATGATTTTGGGTAGTTTGCATTCTTTCTTCACCTTTCCGTTTCTCACTTGTGAAACAGAAATATGGACATTTGCCTCACTTTTTCTCGTTTTGAGGTTAAATGTCATAGGCAAAACCAGCAAACTCTGATTTTTGACTTAATAATTTTTTGCTGCTTTTATATTCGAAAAGAAGGATTTAAAATATCTTTCTGAAAATAAATATTATTCACAACCATGTATCCTTTGAAACAATGTAATTTTGAGGATTTTACAAGGGAAATAATAAATTGAATTTTATATAGGGTAAATAGTGGGCCTTTGTTTATTATGCGTTTTATAAAAACTGGTTTATTTTCAATTAAAAATGATTCTAGCCCTTATAGTATATTAGGCACCGAACTGCAATATTTCATATACTGTGGACCGCCTCCCTGTTGATGGTAACACAATAAGATTGATGAGGTAGGTAGGGCTTTTTTTGTTGACTAGTTTGTAGTTTGGGTATTGGAGACAAGTACCAACTGCCATTGATTGCATTTTGACTTCCAGAAGCCTTATGGGACAAAGTAGAACTGCTCCCAGTGCATTTCCGAGGCGATGCAATGAGTCTTTTTGAAGCAGATGGCCGCAGCTTTCAGTGCGGCTGTGGCAGGGTCAAGCCATCGTTAGAAACAAAAAAAGGCAGAAAGAACTTCTGTAGGGTTGTTGGTGTGTGTGTGTGTGTGCGTATGTATAATTTATTTACTGACTTTTTGTTGTATATATATTTTAGCTCACGAGGAAAACATAAGTTACTTATATTTTGGAATTCTGAAGAGGGAGGCTTGTAGAATTGAGGGTAAGGTTGGAGATAATATTGTCATTGACACATGAGTGTCAATGAGAAGCTTCCTGAGAAGAGCAAGGAGTTTTTTGGTACAGCTACCCTATTTCTAATTCCTATGACTAGTGAGCTTAATGAAAATTTTGAATTTTCATTGACATTATTGCTGATCTCTTGCTCTATTTTCACTCTTGGCTTTACTAATGTGTTTCTTTTCCCCTCTGGGGGTGATGAACAGTCTATAAATAACACCTTATTCGGAGCCTTCTCTGATCTCTGCCCTTTGTTCTCCTCTTTCGTGAATTAGGTTAGCTTCTTCTAGGAAAGGAGTTTTCAATCATTAAACCTTGGGTGAAGAATGTAAAAAACAACTTTAAAAAGAAATCATTTTATTGGGGCTCATGCAACTCCTATCACAATCCATATATACATCAATTGTGTGAAGCACACTTATACATTCTTCGCCCTCATCATTCTCAAAACTCTCGCTTTCTGCTTGGGCTCCTGGAATTAGCTTCTCATTCCCCCCCCCCCCCCTCATGAACCCTTGATAATTTATAAATTATTATTTTATCATATCTTATACTGCCCAGTGTCTCCCTTCATCCACTTTTCTGTTGTCCATCCCTCAGGGAGGAGGTTATATGTAGATCCTTGTAATCAGTCCCCCTTTCTAAAAAACAACTTAAAAAAATCCCTCTTTATCCTTTTCAGAGGATCCTTGCTGGGGCTGTAGGCTTAGCCAGGCTGTAGGCTTAGCCAGGTCAGGGGTTCAAACCTACCAGCTGTTTGCTACCGGAAAGATGAACAGTAGATGAACAGTCTTGGAAACCCTGCTCTGTCGGGATGAGTCACAGGAGACTACTCGATGCCTGTGGTTGGTGGTTGGTTATTTTTTTCAGTGTCTTTCAGAAAGTTTGCACTGAGAGAAAAGTAGTTTTTATTTAGGTCTCAGTGTATAACTGCAAATTGCCCTCCATATTGTTCAGAAGAGCATACATATTTAACATGTATGATAGAAAGCCTGCTCAATGTCTTTTGCTCTCACTCTTGTCAAGCTCATTTGTTGCTATGTATTGGTGAATTATTAAAATTTACCTAGGAGTCTTAGAACTCAGGAGATATGAAAGAGGGTTGTTTGCAGGCTGAGGTTTAAAGGGGATCTATTCCTGTTATATAGCATGGTTGTTCTCTGAGCTTATGTATTTTTAAACCCAGAGCTGGAGAGCTAGTCTTGAAGAGTAAAGCTTTTCTTGGGCGCTCAGGGAGAGGGAGCATGTGTGCGCTGAGAAAAATGTACACAAGTAGGAGCTGGCACCCAGGCTCGCCCTCGAAGCACTAACAAACGACATGGACACGCAGATGGCTGCTCACACATCATGTCTTCCATATATTTGAGGCCAATACTGGTTCACCACCAGTATTTCATGTTACACAAACTTGCCCAATGGGATCACAACACAGTTTGCATGAAGGCAACTCTTTTTACCCATTGTAGTTTCTACCCACATGGAGGATTTAGGGGTGTATATACATTTTCTCCCTTGGTGAGCTTACAGTGAGGTAATGGTTTTCAAAAGAATCTCATGGATATGTATCACCAGCTATAAAAACCAGGGATCTTGGCGGGGGCTTTCTTTTTTCTCGTTCCCTGACACTCAGGGCGGACAGTTCTGGTGACTGTGTCTCTAGAGAGATCATAAAATGAATGATCTGGTAAGGTTGTAAGACTCCACAAAGGGAATAGTTTGAAAGTTCCGATGAGGGTGGGGGTGGAGAGGTGGATGCTGTGATGACCGGAGGAGGTGAGAGCATCTTAAATTGCTAAGCAGTGGTCTTATCTTCTAGGTGGATTAAATTTGAAGAAAAGGTGGAACAGGGTGGGGAGAGATGGAGCAAGCCCCACGTGGCCACCCTGTCCCTCCACAGCTTATTTGAGCTGAGGACCTGTATGGAGAAGGGGTCAATCATGCTGGACAGGGAAGCTTCTTCTCTCCCACAGTTGGTGGGTAAGTATATTGTTTTAATTTCCTCTGATCTCCACCTGACCCAGAGTCAGCATCATGACAGGTAGCTTCTCGTGTGATCAATGTTCTATGACATTTATTCTTTAACTTTATGTGGTAAAATTGGTTTAGTTTATGACAGAGTATTGGGAAAGTTCAGGGAAAACCAAAGGCAATGGAATTGTACCTATTGTACCTCCCACTGCGGTGAGGACCACTGCGAACATGACCATGTACGTTCTTCAGTTTTTGTCTCAATATTCTCCACACGTTTTGTTTTGTTTTCTCTTGTGCTTTTAATGATATTTCATTAAATCGGGATCATATTGTATATGTGCAGATTTTTATTCACTTTCTTTACTTATTAACATTAAATTAATATTTTAAATAGCCACCTCCCCATCCTTAGTTATATTAGACTGAAAATTTGGCCACTAGATTTCTAGGACTCTATGTAGACATTGCACTACACTTGTCCTTAGTTTCATTATCTATAAAATAAGATATAAAATAGATAGCCCCAATAAGAGTTATTAGCCTATGCACATATATTTATATGGCAACACCCGGAGGTAGTAGATGGACTTTGGGCCTCTGATCAAGCTTTGCCCCAACAAAAGAACACTTTGTTCTAACAACCTGGCATTCTGTGATGCTCACCTTCCCGGCATGATCACTGAAGACAAAATGGGTGCATAGCTACTGTGGTGAAGAGAGCAGATGGTGCCCATCTATCAAAAGATACGGCATCTGGGAACTTAAAGGCTTGAAGTTAAAGAAGCGGCCATCTAGCAGAGAAGCAACAAACCCACATGGAAGAAGCACACCAGCCTGTGCAATCATGAGGTGTCTATGGGACCGGGTAACAAGCATCAGAAGACCCATAAGAAACAAGCAAATGTAAAAAACATATTGTTGAGAATGAGGGGCATTGGAGCAGACCCCAAAAACCATCTGTAGACAATGGTTTAGAAGGGTCACAAGGAATGGATGAGTCAACGAGGGTACAGTATAGCACCAATGAAACAAATAATATTCCTCTGATTCCTTGAGGCTTCCTCACGCCCCACTATCATGACCCCAATGCTGCCTTTCACTGCGGGCTAGACGAGAGCATGTGCACAGGTACAGATAAGAGATAAGAGCTCATGACACACAGAATCCAGGAACAGGAATGGGAGCAGCAACACCAGGAGGGTAGCGGAAGGTGGGAGACAAAGGGAGGAAAGGGGAACCGACTGCAATGATGGACACATAACACACACACCCTACACACACCCCATAACCCCACATAACACTCCCCCCCCCCCCACACACACACTCACACACAGGGACTAACAACAGAAACTGCGGGAGAAGGGAGACAGCAGTTGATGTAAGATATGAAAATAATAATAATTTGTTAATGGGTCACATGGGTGGGAAGGGGGAGGGAGAAAAAAAAGAGGAGTTGATACCAAGGGCTCAAATAGAAAGTAAATGCTTAGAAAATGATGATGGCAACATATGTACAAATATGCTTGATACAATTGATGTATGGATTGTTATTAAGAGCTGTAAGAGCCCCCCAATGAAATGATCTTTTAATGAAAAAAAATAGCCCCTTAAATATAAAAAATGTTTAAAGACTTAATCCCTTCTCTGAAAAATAGGGATTATTTTAGTTTCTAGGCAGGGACTGATTTTGTAAGTAGAAGTCAAGCCCCTTTATTATGTGGAGAGGATGGTTTCATGGCACTTCTTGAAGTTTAGTGTGTGTGAATCGAATGTTAACTCAGCATACTGAACGCATTGGACACGTGTCACTAAATTCCAAACAGGAATAATGTTTTTCATTTCTAGCAAGCATCTCTCCTAGGCTGCCATATTTATTACCTTTCAAATTTAGGTGTGCTGGAGATCACATTTTCTCAAAAAGAGCAGGCCCAGGGCTTTCCTTGTGACTTCTTGGAAAATTCCATGACGTGGTGCCCACTGCATTTGTAGGAATGACTTAGGTTCTCCAGGAGTCTGTAGGATGGCTGCCCTGGGATTGTGAGAAAGAGAAGTGGAATGTGACTTTGCAAAAATTGACAGGTAAAGCATCCGATGTGGTGTCAGACTTCCTGTGTCTAGTCAATTCTTGTTATTGGTAGTCGTTAGGATCAATAAAGTTCCCATGAACACGGAGTTAGCAAAAACAGAGCCAACCTTGAGCATTGGGTGACTCAAAAATTCTACCACCCTGCACATGTACATTCCATGAATGAGTGTAAAAGTATTGATTTCAGGGAAATGAATGGATTATAGCATGTAGGTGCATTCACAAATATGAGAGATGTGATAATGAGTCTTGATGTTATAGCTTTAGGAGAAAGGCTTTTTAATGACATCTTTGTCTTTGTGTAAAATGAGAAGGCAGAGCACTCAGATTGGCAGAAAAGATTGGTTGTGAAATGAGGCACAGATCTGTTTGGCATATCTTTTTTCCAATTCTTTTTTCAAAGAGTTTTTTAGTTAGATTTGCAAAGAATCCCCTCACTTCTCATGCATATGAAATACTGAACGGAAAGAGTAGAAGGTGCTGCGTGGACAGAGTTAATGAGGTCATGTGTTCCTTCAGCAGGGGTGCATGGAACTTTACAATGTGCTGAGTACTGTTCTAGGTCCTGCAAATAGGTTTGCAAAGCTAGCATTTTGTAAATGAGGTCAGTACCAAATTCACCTCCAAAAGGTAGGTAGAAGATAAGAGAGGATGTGCATATATTTATAGGGTTAGTATTAAGGTAGCAGATGGTCATTTGGCCTCCACTCTAGTACTCCCTCAATGCAAGAGTAATTTGTTCTATTAAACTGGCATTCCATGATGCTCACCTACCTGACATGATCGCTGAAGACAAAGCAGGTACATAAGCAAATGTGGTGAAGAAAGCTGATGGTGCCCGGCTGTCAAAAGATATAGCGTCTGGGGTCTTCAAGGCTTCAAGGTAAACAAGCAGCCATTTAGCTGAGAAGCAACAAAACCCACATGGAAGAAGCATACCAGCCTGTGTGATTGCAGGGTGCCAAAGGGATCAGTTATCAGGCATCAAATAACAAAAATTCTTATCATTGTGTGCTCATTTGCCTAGTATGATCACTGAAGACAAATGGGTGCATAAGCAAATGTGGCGAAGAAAGCTGATGGTGCCTGGCTATCAAAAGATATAGTGTCTGGGGTCTTCAAGGCTTAAAGGTAAATAAGCGGCCCTCTAGCTCAGAAGCAACAAAGCCCACATGGAAGAAGCACACCAGCCTGTGTGATCATGAGGTGTCAAAGGGATGAGTTATCAGGCATCAAAGAACAAAATAACATATCATTAAGAATGAGGGGGAGTGCAGAGTGGGAACCCAAAGCCCATCTGTCGGCAACTGGACATTCCCTTATGGAAGGGTCGTGGGGAGGAGACGAGCCAGTCAGGGTCCAGGGTAGCAATGATGAAACATACAACTTTACTCTAGTTCCTAAATGCTTCCTCCCCACCCACTTTCATGATCCCAATTCTACCTTACAAATCTGGCTAAACCAGAGGATGTACACTGCTACAGATAGGAACTGGAAACACAGGGAATCCGGGACAGATGATCCGTTCAGGACCAGTGGTGAGAGTTGCGATACTGGGAGGATTGAGGGAGAGTGGGGTAGAGAGGGGGAACCGATGGTAAGGATCTACATATAATCTCCGAACAGAAAAGTAGGTGAAGGGAGATGTGAGACAGTGTAAGATATGACAAAATAATAATTTATAAATTATCAAGGGTTCATGAGGGAGGGGGGAGCGGGAAGAGAGGGGGAAATGAGTATAGCTGATGCTAGGGGCTTACGTGGAGAGCAAATGTTTTGAGAATGATGAGGGTAAGGAATGTACAAATGTGCTTTATACAATTGATGTATGTATGGATTGTGATAAGATTTGTATGAGCCCCCAATAAAATGCTTTTTTTTTAAAAGAAGAGGAAATCTTGGTCTGTGTAGAATTTTTCATATTTCACAAAGCAGGTGGGGCTGCAAATGGAAATTTGATATGTGAGGAGAGAGATGCTGGCGTTCTGGATTTCTGTAGCCCAGGAAGGTAAGGCACTTATAAAGACAGAAAAGCAAACAGAAGGCATGGGTTTCCGTTGCATTTTTTGTTGTTAAAACTGCCAAAGAGATTGTTATAAAAATACAGTTAGCAAAAAGCAATCCAATTTTTAGTGAGAATTGCAAAGTCTCTGTAGTCTCAGATTTGTTTATTTTTAGCCCCCTCGCTGAGCCTGGAGCATTTCTACAGAGGTATGGAAGTTCAAGGTGAATTACACACTTGAGCTTTTCTGTATTCTGTGATGTTGTCCCAAGGATCTTCAGCATCACGAAGGGCTGATTTAAGGAGAGACTGACCCTTCCCATTAAGTGGAAGACAGATGTCCACCTTCTATTGTTGCCCCATTTGTCAGTGAGCAAAGAGAAGTGGTCTGGGGCTGACTACATTTAGGAAATGTTACCAAGCATTTTACCTTCCACTTTAAATCTTTCATCACTTCCTATGATCCAACTTTTTTCGAACCTTCAGGCATTTATTTTAGAAATTGCCATTACAACGTTAGACACCACTAGGTCATTTTGAGGTGCCATCGCTGACTAATCTATTTGCTCTGCAGCTCCGAGGGCAAGCAGGGGACAGCCAATGCTGCCATCCTGCCCCTGCTAACATCGGGGCAGGGAGAGGGGAGACAAGCAAAAGCCCAATTCAGGGGCAAATACCATACCACAAACAAAGCAAAGTAAGAAAAAGGACCAGAGTAGCAATTGGGGGAGGGGGAAGGGGGAGAGAAGAGACTATTTGGCAGCGAGCAGCTGACTCAAAAGAAATGCTGAAAGCATCCTCTGAAATCAGAGCCTCCCCTTCTGAGTCGCGTGGATTCTGACTCTCATGACCCGGGGTGTTTCCGAGCTCACCACACTTCTAAGAACTTTGAAGGCATTGGGAGGCAACCTGTCTTCA